GGGGGGGGGGAGGGGGTATGGAGGGGTATTGTTTCTGTCTGTTTTTGAAATTCACATCCATTACCTTGCTTATCAAAACTTAAAATATGCTAATTCTACAAGATTTAGAGTCATCTTCACTTACCTGCGGCTCAACTTCACTCATCTTCACTCGACTATTCCTTGAAACATGATCTGGGCCTAATATTGTTGCAAGGTTGAATACATGAGAATATTTAGTAGGGCATTGTTTTCCAATGTTCAAAAGTTTTCGCAACCATCTTGTGTACTTCTTTTAAAAGAATCAAGCAGAGGAATTTTTTTGAAAAGTTTCACGTTATATTCGTGGGAAATAAACGATAATAAAATGAACTTTTGTGATTACAAATAAGGAGAGGACAAGTACGAAAAGTTTGTCGAATTCTCTACGGATTTTTTTAGCGAGTAAACAGACGTAAATCAATCTGTTGGAAACAAACATATAGTTACACAGGATACTTTAAGAAACAACGCCTAAAAAGGAAGAATATTTGTCGCTGATATACGGGGCTTCATCTTCTTCAACTGTTTTGTGACTGTTGGTGCATTCTCTTCTGAGCTGGCACGCGTAGGAATCAATTTAAGCCTTGGTTTTTTTTAGGTGCTTGAACGTCTGGCTTCTGGCTACAGACTTCCTCCGCCAATGGTATGTTTTACGTTTAAAAGTCTCTAGATTTCATAGATTTTTACTATATGCTTTTCTTAGATCAATTACACAAGATATGTCAAATATGCCATGCTCTGTTCTTTCCATATCGAGGCTACACCTAGCTTAAACATTATCTGTTCCTTGTTTTTTCGTTGCTTATATTTGTGAGCTTTATCTGCTTTAAACCTTGAAATCTTTATCGAGGTGCTACAATGCCGACGTAAAAGCAGTTGAGTTTTCCTGATTCATAGACTTCCTTGCAACAACTTCTATCCCAGAGGGGTCTTTTTCGCGCACTCTGTTACTCTTTATTGGTTTGTTGTACTCTTAGTTACAAAGCTGTTGGCAATCATAGATGTCACATGCTCTGTTGGGTTATGTATTTTGATTCAAAAAATAAATTAACTTGCTTAAAATGCAACCATACCCTAAATTTCGTACGAATAATTTTTCTTTAGGCTTACCTGTCTTTCAGATTCCCAATGCCCTAGTTTCATATCATGTGCATAAAGTACCATTTGTTAACAAAATCATAGATATTAAATAGATATCCCATTCTGCCTTCACTGGTAATGATATGTTTGCAAATGCAACTCTTCCTTCAGATGCGTCTCGTTTGCATATATTACAGTCCTGTGTATTCTAATTCTACGCAGTGTTTGATTCGGTCAAGTTTGCTTGATCACAGTACAATACGCTAGCTTGCTTCACGAAGCCCCTTTTTTCTTCTCACTGTTTGTAACCTTTGAAACGCTTTACTCTCTTCTTATATAACCAAAACATTTATGTTCACTGTTTCTGTGTTTATCAACGCAACTTTTGCTGTTTCTTATCTAAGTCTTAAAAGCAGCTGTTTACGATTGACAATCTCTTGCAGAGCTGCCCTAAAGTTGTGCACGATCTTATGTTATCTTGCTGGCACAAAGATCGCGTTAAAAGACCAAAATTTAAGGACATTCGTGGCACGATTGATAAGTGGATCCGGAGTCCGGAGTTGCTGAAACACGAGGAATCGGTTGTGACAAGGCGGTATGTTGCAATATATATTCTTTCAATATACAAGAAAACTATTTAACTTGAATATGAAGTTGAAGGAATCATTTTGGTTAATGCGATACAACTTTTGTCTCTTTGTCAACTTTTATATCTTTATATGAGTTAGCAAATGCTAGAATAAATGTATTTGATATCCAAAAGCTCTTTGCACTACTTACCTAAAATAGGTTGATATTAGGGTCTAATTTATGTGTCAATTACAATCTTTCTTAGGAATATAAAGGAGGCTGCCTTTATACTCTATCTATTATTTCTCCTTGTTTACCTATCATAGTGACACTAATTTGGATTACGCGTCAATGAAGACCTTAAAAGAATGGCTTGATTCGATTGGGATGTCGCGATACATCGAGAACTTCACTGAAAAGGGCCTAGTCACACCCCTCCAGATCTTAGAGCTCACGGATCCAGATCTGAAAGATATAGGAATTGAAGCTGTTGGCCACCGAAACAAAATTATGAAGAACATCAATTTGACGAAAGGCCAGTTGATTAGAACAAAATCCATGGCAATCTAAGCGCTGTGAGGCAAGTTGCTTTTATTAGAAATTACATCGAAAACTTCATTACATCACTCTAATGTCCATGACAGTAGTTTGTCATGATGTCATAATAAGTATTTGACCAATTTTCGAGGACTATCTAGTTTGACTTGTTTATGTATTGCCCTTGATTGTATAGATGCATTTCTTCGAAAGACATTTTTGATGTGACGTTTTTATATTAGAAGTATTGAATTGTTTGGAGAACGTAGGTAGAGCATTCTGCACCATAGAAGACATTCCAAGTTATCTTGTAAGCTGTTGTTGTGGTTTTCTTTCATAAGTTGTTGTGCATAGGTTGAATGTTTTATTTAAAGGCATTGAGTCATGATAAAATTGATTGGGTATACCCAAAGTGCCAAAATCCGCTGAGTCACGATTTTTATGACTGCGATGCTATTGGTTGACCTTAAACTGGTCACATGAACTCACCTCGTACTGATTGACAAAACAGTTTCCATCAATAGCAAGTTGTCATTAACGGATGCCAATATCACGTGAACAGCAACAATCACGCTGAAACCAAATGAACCCCTATATAGAAGGCCTTTTTGCCATGACTCAATGTCTTTAACAAGAAGGTACTGACCTGTATTGAGTAGAAATCCTTATTCAAGGTCACCTTGCGGCGTCATACAGTGAAATTTGACTGTTTTTATCATTTCATATAAGTGAGTCATCTGCTTATTTAAGCGTGATACAACTCACCTTCTTGGTTAAAGACTTTCTGCAACTAATTAGACACGTATTTTTGTTGATGTCGTTCATTATGTGGTCTTCATTTTCATTTTTTTGTCCTGTGTGTATGTATAAAGAGACATCTCACTGCATAAATACACTCGATCGTAGCCAAGGGACATTAACATCTTTCTCTCCTCCTGCCAGCATAAACAGACACTTATTCTGCTTCAATGATATAGCACAACTCACATTAATAGCTGGATTGTCTTTCAAAAAGTAGTATCGAAATTCTTGCGATCTGTATGTACAGTGTATTTTTCAAATTAATTTTCTTATTACAGTTAAGATTAGAGTTTCCGTAAGGTAGATTCATTTTTAGTCACCGATTAGTAACAGTTATCGATCTTAGCAAAAAAGGCTTCTAGGTTTAACGTCTAAATATTTAAAATCACCAAATCTTTAATGAAATGAGAGGTGAAAGATGTTGGCGTTGCCTTGTTCAAGAATCGATAAAACGAAATGTAGAAATCAGTTGCATCTTATTATTACAAAGAACCTACAAAAGCATTTTCGCGTAGAACCTTTTAATTTTGAAGCCTTAGCATTTGCCACTTAATATGTGCATAGTTGCATTCTGGTATAACTTAGATGGTTTTGAAACAGTGATGAATAAATGCCCAAGTGCATGAGGTATGAATTTAGGAGTTTGTATATCAGTTACTTTTTGACATGAAGCTATTTTGTTTATTAAGATATTCCTGATTGATCTTTCTTGTAAATATCTTTTACTAGTCGAAACCATTTTTTAAACCGTATATAATGATAATTACAGATAAATAACTATTTGATAACGAAATCCAGCTGAATAGTTTCTTGAATGTCCGAGAGAAAATAGTCGTTATACGTGAATAAGTGTAGTATTAAATTTAACTCAGGCTGTATTCAGTCTGGCAGAAGCAGAATAATGAAAGGGATTCCTAGACCTGGTAGATCTGAAGTCCGCGATTTTACCGATACGTAGGTCTTGGAGATGCTACTTAAAGCGTGCTTGATGTAGTGGTGTCTAGATATCCTATTTCGTTGACTTATTTGCCAAACTTTTCAAACTTCGTTGCCTCACTTTACAAACCCACTCTCACATTAAAGGCCTACATCTAAACTGTTCGCATTGACATCATATCATCTTTCTTCCTGTTCTTATACATGTTTATGTATATGTTTAAGGCTAAAACAGTATATCTTAGAATTACCACCATGAGTAACAAAGTTTTGATATTTTCATTTTTTCCGAACCATCAGAATTTTCTCATCTAAATAAGCTCTTAAAATAATTAGTATCTGTAATATTTTTTAAGTAATTAAATAGTATTTAAATAGTAATTAAAATAATTTTGTTCATAGAAAGTTTTTTCCATAATAGATATCTCTTTTTTGAGTGACCCAATTTTGAAAAAAGTACAGTTACAGGTTTTCCAAAGTTGTAAATTTTTCCAGTGATTTTTTAGCTAAAAATCAAACTCATTGTCTTAACAGAACTTAACTATGTATGCAGCCTTATTATTGAGTCTTGTTTTCCTAATAAAATTTTCCTGTTTCACTGACTCTATTTCCACAAGAAAGAAACGTATAGGCCTCCAAAAATAATCAATTTTTGACAGAATTTCAAGCTCAATACAGCACTTATCCCCATCTATAAACATTTACCAGGTTTTGCTTTGTAACTTGGCTTTGTAACGTAGTTTGTTCTTTTATGTTTTAATGTTATTCCCTCTTTTTTCTGTCTAGATTTTCACAAAAAAGTAGATTATAGACTTGCTAAAAGCATTTATTATTCAGAGAAGTTTTCCAGCTCAAAGCAGCACAACTTCTCGTGTAATAAATACCTAACAGTTTTTCAGAAATTTTCCAGCTAAAAGCGACATAAAGTATCTTAGCCAAAGAAGCTTGTTTTTTCTTATACCCCATTTTCTTATCTTAAAAGATATTAAACAGGTTTCCACTTGGTTTTATAGTAAAAGAAGCTGGTTTTTGTCAAAAAAATTGCCCTTGTTTGGATGCCAGAAATTTGATGAAAAACTAAGGCTATAGGCTTGCAAAAAATCGTCATATTTTGACAGATTCTTTCCCTTCAAAAAACCCCATTTTCTTATCTTAATAGATATTAAACAGGTTTCCACTTGGTGTTATAGTAAAAGAAGCTAGTTTTTCTCAGAAATATTGCCAATGTTTGGATGCCAGAAATTTGATGAAAAAGTAAGGCTATAGGCTTGAAAAAGTTGTCAAATTTTGACAGATTCTTTCCCCTCAAAAAACCCCATTTTCTTATCTTAATAGATATTTAATAGGTTTTCACTTGGTGTTATAGTAAAAGAAGCTAGTTTTTCTCAGAAATATTGCCAATGTTTGGATGCCAGAAATTTGATGAAAAAGTAAGGCTATAGGCTTGCAAAAATCGTCAAATTTTGACAGATTCTTTCTCCTCAAAAAACCCCATTTTCTTATCTTAATAGATATTTAACAGGTTTCCACTTGGTGTTATAGTAAAAGAAGCTAGTTTTTCTCAGAAATATTGCCAATGTTTGGATGCCAGAAATTTGATGAAAAACTAAGGCTATAGGCTTGCAAAAATCGTCAAATTTTGACAGATTCTTTCCCTCAAAAAACCCCATTTTCTTATCTTAATAGATATTAAACAGGTTTCCACTTGGTGTTATAGTAAAAGAAGCTAGTTTTTCTCAGAAATATTGCCAATGTTTGGATGCCAGAAATTTGATGAAAAAGTAAGGCTATAGGCTTGAAAAAGTTGTCAAATTTTGACAGATTCTTTCCCCTCAAAAAACCCCATTTTCTTATCTTAATAGATATTTAACAGGTTTCCACTTGGTATTATAGTAAAAAAAGCTAGTTTTTCTAAGAAATATTGCCAATGTTTGGATGCCAGAAATTTGACAAAAAAGTAAGGCTATAGGCTTGCAAAAGATCGTCAAATTTTGACAGATTATTTCCCCTCAAAAAACCCCATTTTCTTATCTTAATAGATATTTAACAGGTTTCCACTTGGTATTATAGTAAAAGAAGCTAGTTTTGCAAAAATCGTGAAATTTTGGCAGATTATTTCCCCTCAAAAAACCCCATTTTCTTATCTTAATAGATATTTAACAGGTTTCCACTTGGTATTATAGTAAAAGAA